TCATCATCATCATCATCATCATCATCATCATCATCATCATCATCATCATCATCATCATCATCATCATCATCATCATCATCATCATTCATCATTCATCATTCATCATTCATCATTCATCATTCATCATCATCATCATCATCATCATCATCATCATCGTCGTCATCATCATCATCATCATCATCATCATCATCATCATCATCATCATCATCATCATCATCATCATCATCATCATCATCATCATCATCATCATCCTCTTACGGATGTCCTCAGGAATCTCGTCCGCCCTCCTCCTCCTTCTCCTCCTCCTCATTTGCCTCCTTCTCCTCGTCATTATCCCCCTCATTATCCTCCTCATGATCCTACTCCTCCGCCTCCTCTTCCTCCTCCTCCTCCTCCTCCTCCTCCTCCTCCTCCTCCTCCTAGTCATTGTTCTTCTCTGATCTCTTGAGCCCGCGCTGAGCGCAGGTCACTCTTCAGCCATAAGTAGCAGCTGTCGCCGCTCCACTCCTCGAATCCAGGGCCGTCGTCCAAGAACTTCCAAGGGTACCCATCCCCGAACCCATCTCGATCTTAGATCTCGGTCCGAGCCTACGGGGACGATGGCTGCACTCCTGCACTGAGCATGGCCAGGCCCCTCCCTGGATCTGGCATCAGCGGACGCGCTCTCCTGGACTGACCAGGGACCGCAAAAACACCGATGCTCCTCCTCCTCCTCCTCCTCCTCCTCCTCCTCCTCCTCCTTCCCTCCTCCCCCTCCTCCTCTCCTCCTCCTCGTCGTCCTATTCCTCCTATTCCGCCTATTCCTCCTCCTCCTCCTCCCCTCCTCCTCCTCCTCCTCCTCCTCCTCCTCCTCCTCCTCCTCCTCCTCCTCCTCCTCCTCCTCCTCCTCCTCCTCCTCCTCCTCCTCCTCCTCCTCCTCCTCCTCCTGGGGGCTTCTGGGAAGCCCAGGACCTCGTGCCTGGGCCGCCAGGGGTCGGGGAGCCGTGCCTCTGGCGCGCGGGCGCCAGATCCACGGCTCGGGCAGAGCGGGGGCCGCCCCTCCCTCCACACACACACACACACACACAGGAGAGGGGCGAGGAGGAGGGGGACGGAGGAGCAGGAGGAGGAGGAACGAGAGGCGGGAGGGACGAGGAGAGGAGGCAGGAGGGAGGGAGAGAGGGCCGGCGGCGCGCACAAGGGGGTAGGGGGAGTGGGGAAGGCTTCTTAGAAGCAGAGGTGCTTCTAAGAAGCCGTCCCCCATCCCCCTACCCCCCTCTGCGCGTGGCCAAGGAGGAGGGGGGGGGGGGGGGGGGCGATGGGCGGGAGGGGCAGGGATTCGCGCGGCAGGGACGGAAGGGGGGGTCGGGAGTTGCTAAACGTGCCCCTGGCCAGAGGTGCCCCCAGCTTATCGCTCCATGCTGGAGCCCCTGAGGCCCTCTGGGCCTCGCGGGGGGGGGGTACTCTGGAGGCCGCGGTGGCCTCCCTGGAGATCCTGGGGGCACCTCAGGCCGGGGGCACGCCTGGCAACACCCGAAGCGGGGGGCGGGAGAAAGGTTGGTTGGGCGGGAGAGGGGCAGGGACTCGCGCGGCAGGGACGGCAGGCGGGGGGAGGAGGAGGAGGAAGAGGAGGAGGGAGGAGGGAGGAGGAGGAGGAGGAGGAGGAGGAGGAGGAGGAGGAGGAGGAGGAGGGCCCCCCCCCGAGACCTGAGACTCGCCGCCGCTGCCGCCCGATCCGGCGCGCGGCGCGCGCCGACGCCGCGGAGAGGGGGCCCGCCGCGTCGAGCCGCGCGCCAAGCGAGAGCCGCGCGCCCGCGCGTCTCTCCTCGCAAAAGGGCCGCCGGCCTGGGATCGGTGCAGGAGGCGCATGCGGGCGACGATCAGGGCCCAGGGACGCACAAATAAATAGACAGAGATTCTACACAGCACGAAATAGCAGGATTCTACAACAGATTCTACACAGATTCCCACGAAAATAGCACGAAATAGCAGGATTCTACACAGATTCCCATATCTTCCGGGATTTGTCGTCTTCCGCCCCACTTCCGGTATTTTTTCCCGTACCTTTCCTGGTGGTCGACGATGAAATTGTGTCTGTGTGTTTCTTTCCCTCCTGAGATCGGCAAGGGGTCTTACAGCCGGACCTGGGGCAGGAGAACACCCCTCAAGAACATGAGACCCTCCGCCAGCCAAAGTGCAGAGCATTCGAAGGCAACCTCCCCCAGGATGCACAAGAGCATCCAAAAAAGCACGGAGAACATGAGTGTACCCTCCACGAAGCGACCTCGATCTGATACCTCGGTCCGAGTGTACGCGGTGGCGTACGCGGGCCGCCGGCGCGGCACGCCACATGGGAAGTGAGGGCGCTCACGCGCGACCCCACGCGGGCAGCTGACGCGCCAATGTCGGTGAAGACGACCCCGCTTTCTTCTGCCCCTCACGTGGTCTTGACGCCCCCCGACCTGCTCAAATCGGGCGGGGGGAGGGGCGACAGGGCAGGATGGAGAAGGGCAGGGCAGCGAATCGGCTCACGCAGCTGGCTTTCGTGGCGCCTCCCGGCGCCAGGAAGCGTCCATGTACCGAGGAGTGGGCCTGGCGGCGGGGCGGAAACCAGCTGCACGCAGCAGACTTCGCAACCCCTTTTTGTCCTACCCCTTCGCCACACCCGATCGAAGGGCCCCAGGAAAACACAGACAAGTCAACACAGGTGCAAGAATCCGTCATACTTTGACATATTTCCTGGATTCCCCGACTTTCCCCCCCATACCCCATCTGTACTTCCCACGCTTCCTTGGAAAGCGGCGCTTCTGTGTGTCTGTGCCTCTTGGTCCCTCCCGACTTCCCCGCGCACGCGACGACCCCTGGCGTGGATCTCTGACACTGCGTGGATCCTTCAACCTTCGACTATCGGCGCCTCCTTGATCGCCAGATCGTTCCACAATGCGCCGACTCCGTGCCACGGGCGGCGTTGAACCTTGGACGCCCGCGGCGGGGTCCCCGCCGCATCGACCCGGCACCAGCCTGCCATAAAACAGGGCTGGGATCAGGAGAAATCGCTCCAGAGCGTTCCGGAGCGCTCTCAGAGCGTTCCGGAACGCTCTGGAGCGGCCGCGGCGCCCAATACATCCTCCAAACCCGCCGACTCCCAGAGATTTCGAGCCATCCCGATCCGATTTTGCCCCGATCTTCGCGTCGTTTTATGCCAGCTGGGGTCCCCCGGCCTGCTCCGCGCCCGCGCCCGCGCGTGCGGCGCGCGGCCGGCCACGGTCACGGCGGCGCTCAGATCTCGCGCCCGCGGGCCGGCTGCATGGGCGGGCGCTGGGAGACCTCGGGGCGGAAGAGAAAGGCGTGCACCGCCGTCGCTGCACAAAAAAGGGTTGTGGATGCCACGGCAATGGACACCCTAACAGGCCCATCATCGAATTAAAAATGTGTTCGAATGTCGGAAAATGTCCTGAAAATGTTTTAAAACATGTCTTTACATGTTCACAGTTGCAACACATGTTCTGGACATCTGGAAACTATTTGGCAACATGCTTCCTCTCTATTGATGGTCCTCCACAACAAAAGGGGCGAACGCCTTCTGCCACCCCTCGGCTCGCGATGGAACGCCGCGCCCAGAACCTGCTCCAGATTTCCTTGGAATCCCCTGGATCTGCCTGGACTCAGCTGGGTTTACCTCGATTTGCCTCGATATCTCTGGCACGATATCTGCAAGTCGATTAGGGTCAACGCACTGGCGGCCTCCGCGGATCCCCGCGGGGGCCACGCTTCGGCGCACGTCGGCGCCGGGCCGCTGGCCAGGAGGCCTGAACACACCAACATTCAACGGGCGAATGGCAATACGTAATAAACAGGTTCGCCGTCGGGGACGCCTGTCCAAGGGCGGCTGAAAAAAATGATAACCCTGGGGTAGCGCGCCAGGGTGGAAACTTCCCAACCGCCCTGGGACAGGCGCCCCAGGTGACAGAAAAGTGTACGTTATACCGTTCTTCACCCGCTAAAACAATCACGTCGAAGCATGGCCAGAAGAACGCCACCCAAGAGCATGAGGCCCGTCGAAGAAGAACCAAGACCCTTCGATGGCAACTCGCGGGGGCCCCATACCATTTTGCTGGCTCCTGCGAATCGACACGGATCGACACTGATCGACGCCAAACGGCGCTAAATCGACGCGAATCGACGCTCACCGAAGCTAGGTCGGCGATAGCCCATCGATTACCAGACGCTGAAAAATCACAGGGCGATGTAGAAGTACATGAAATATGCTCCTCTACGCTACAAAAGCCGGCAACGACTTATCATATCCTGGCAACGACCCCTTGAGCCCAAAGGAGCTGCGGAAGCGCTCGGTCACTGCTCGTTATGACAGCTAGCTAGCTACCTATAACATCGGGAAGGGAGGACAACGAAGCGCATCGCAATATGTTGGCTCAAGGCCCGATTCCAGATTCAACGTGTTCAACAACGGTATGTGCTAAACGCCCATCGACGCAGGAGGCGAGGGTTGTCTCATCCCGCCGAGAGCAGCTGTCGGCCGCTCTCCCTACACTAAGGCATACGGCAGCTTCTCTCCAAGTGCGTCAAATAAGGCAAACTCATTCCAACTTGCCGATGGCGCACCTAAGATGAGCGACCGACGATCGGCAACTCAACTCAGGCAGCAGAACGTGCACCGGGCGACGCGCAAAAGATAGGTAGTACGAGCCTGCGGCCTGGCGTCTGGCGTCAGGCTGCGCGGGCATCAGGTCGGCCACAAACGAACATGAATGACCGATGTTGGGTGAGCCTGCGGCCAGGTGCCTGGCATCAGTCTACGTGGCCGACGATCAAGCCACAAAATGATACGGATGCCCGATGCCGGGTGCCTGCTGCCAGGCCTCAAAAAAAAAAAATGAACGCCCGCGGCCGGCCGCCCGCTGCCGGGTCAGACAGCGCATGGCCCGCAGCCCCACGAGGGGCAGGCTCGATGCCGCGCGCGTTCTGTAACACTACGATGCGGCACATATTTCTTTACACTATGCTCATACGACTTGTGCCCTGATATCACTTGCAACAACAGCTCACGACCAATACTGCCCGCAGCATGTCCGTCAGCTGTCGTGCCACGTGCGTCCCACCACTGACCACAGTGTAGAAGATTCCTCTCCAGCATCTGCCTGATCCACTTCATTGGTTTTTCATGGTCCATTGGTTTTCCATGTCCATGCTGGACAGGTGTTGAAACAGGGATCCGGCGTCAATGGGGAGAAGTACCTATATGCACTGCCCATCCTCTTTTACAATACATATCTAAGTTCCTCAGGGGACATACTACCTCCAAGTTTCAATTCGTGTAGCGTGTCAATGGTCGGGTAGCCGTCCTCGAGATGATGTGCCGCAGCCAGCGCTTCCGCTGAGTAGCTTGAACGCACCTGAAGTTGATGCGATTTGCAGTACGCATCCACTCGGTCAGTGACGGCAGTGCCGTTTCGAATGCTGCCCCGCCTTAACAGGTCTGCCCAGCGGATGCCGCATCACTTTGTCTTCATCATCCGCGTCTCCCGTCAAACGGCAGTATTCAGAGTCGCTATGAATATCTGCCTCGTCCGTTGGTGTCATAGCTAGCTGCGCAAGTCTCGTTGGAAAGAAAAATAATATTCTGGCCACCGCGTTCAGCCAACTCGTTGGAGTGAGACAAGGTAGACAATAAGCCACACCTGTGCAATGAGAGTCTACGCCAATGCACCCCTCAGCCTTATGAACATGTCGGCGACCCGTCTTGGTAGCTTTCTCTTTGGGTGTTGTTCCCGTCTGTTCGGCATGTTGGATAGATATCCACCGTGTGACGTACTCAAACTGGTCCATAGTGACGTCGCCGTTGGGGAGTCTGGAGTATAGCACAGCGCAATTGGTATAGCTATGCTTGTTTAGCTTACGTCTTTTCTACGCACTGTCTGTACATGTTTGTCGACGCGAGCTTCCTCGCTGGCCGTGTTTGTCTTCAACATGCTTGGCCGTACTCTTAGTCGGGCTGACTTCGAATTCGTCGTCGCATTTCGTGCATTTGAAAACCGAACCCCGTCTTGATGTTTCTGACTTCAAGTGAGAGCGATCGAAGAGCATCCTTGGGGCCCGTGCCAGGCTTCAAGCACTGAAGGCAATGCTTTGCTTCGCCGAAGTTGGCGAAGCCTGGTACTGTTCGGAGCACCGAGGCAGGGCCAGCAGTGAGCGTGAAGCACACTAATCTCTCCTGTTCTCCAGCGGTACCTGTCAGCCCCTTGTAGGTGAGACCTTCGAGGAAGGCCGTGTCGATATCCAAGGATGCGAGATACCACTCCTTCCTGAACGCTGCCGTGCTTGCAAAGAGCTTCTGATTAGCACGTCGTGCTGTGCCCGAGAAGGTTTCGACGTCGAAGGCCTCGACGTCCACGAAGCCCCGCAGCACGAGACGAAGCCGCATCGCACGTGCCATCTCGCCCTCTTCCGTTCTTGGCGAACCTGCATGTCCCATGTGATGAGGAACACGCCCAGCGGCAGAGCCGAAACCAGCCGCATTCAACAGATTTCCTACCCCCCCCCCTCGTCGCCTGGTGTTCTGGTCATAACTCGGGTCTGATGCGGCCTTTCGGGAAGATCCGGGCAGCCCCAGAACGCTATCGGCGGGGCGCGGCTGCTGGAAAGCTTCCCGAGGCTGGAGAACCGCGAGAGCCTGCGTAAACGCCCGAAAACCTCACCTCGAACTCGCTGTTGTAACGGTTTCCACAAGTGATCGCGGCTGGGTTTCCCAATGTGGTCCTCGCGTTACCGCAGCGCACATTCGTCTTAAAAGTTCGCAACAGTTCCAAGGATCGCGGATGGCTCGCTTCGAAAATGTGGCTCTCGCCTCAGTGCCGCACACACGCATCCTACAGTTTGACACAGGTTCACGGACGGAGGGCGGTTCCGATTCAGAATGTTGCTCTCGCCTTGGCGCCGCGAACATTATTTCGAAGGTGGTAGCAGTTTAAGGATTCGTCTGGTTGAAATCCAAGGAATGGTGTTGTGGGACGATAGGACGCAACAGGCACGTTGATTCGCGGCGTCAGTCCCAGGAACTGCGTTCTGGCACGGTTTAGGCATGTCAGGACGCAACGGTCACGTAAATTCGTGGCGTTGGAATCCCAGGAAAGGTGTTGTGGCACGCTTCAGAATCCCCAGACGATTGTCTTCCAATGGGGCACTTCCCAAAATGAAAATAGATTCTGCTAGGGACCTATGAGGAGGGACCTTAAGGCAGGGTTTATTGGACCATCCTTGATGCGTCTTGGGTTTACACTGGTCCTACCCCACCTCAAGCTCCTCCTCCTCCTCCTCCTCCTCCTCCTCCTCCTCCTCCTCCCTCATCCTCCTCCCGCTCCTGGTCAACTCCCAGTCAACTCCTGGTCGTCATCATCACCACCACCATCGTCACCATCATCATCAGCATCATCGCATTCATCCTGCGCCTCATATCATCACCATAATCGTCATCCTACGCATCGTCAGCATCGCCATCACAATCAACCTCCCTAGCAGCCTATCCTCAGCGCCATCATCATCACCACCACCATCATCTTCTTCATCATCATCATCATCATCATCATCAACAGCATCATCATCATCATCAGCATCATCATCCTCATCATCACCCTCATCATCAAAAGCAGCATCATCATGATCATCATCATCATCGTCATCATCATCACTATCCCCATCAACATCACCGTCACCTTCATCAACGTTTTCATCGCCGTCGTTATCCTCAATGTCACCACCACCACCATCAGCATCCTCAGCAGCCATCCTCCGTACCATAATCATCACCACTACCATCATAACCATCGCAATCAACAGCATCATCATCAGCAGCATCATCGTCCTCATCATCCTCATCTCCATCATCACCTCATCATCATCATCATCATCATCATCATCATCATCATCATCATCATCATCATGATCATCATCATCATCATCATCATCGTCAGCATCATCATCGTCGTCACAATCGTCACATAATCGTCATCAACATCAGCATCAGAATCGGCGTCATGAGAGTGATCATCATTATCAGCATCAGCAAAAAAATGATCATCATCAATGTCAGAATCATCATACTCGTAACCTGGATCATCATACCATCAGCATCATCATCATCAACAGCATCATCAGCATCATCATCAGCATCATCATTAGCAGCATCATCAGCAGCATCATCATCACCATCATCATCATCATCATCATCATCATCATCGTCATCATGGTAATCCTCGTCACCATCATCCTCATCATCATCACCATCACCATCACCATCACCATCGTCATCCTGACCATTTGTCATCATCAGCATCAGCAGCAGCATCACCATCGTACTCCTCATCACCATTGGCGTCACCATCATCACCACCACCACCAGCATCATCACCATCAACTTCATCATCATCATAGTAATCATCATCAGCAGCAGCATCGATAGCATTACCATCATCAGCACCATCATCATCAGCATCATCATCACCATCATCATCATCACCACCATCATCATCACCGTGCCAAGAGACCTTCAGCGTGGGCCAGCCCCCGCGCCCCGAGGCCGTCTCCCACCACAGGCGGTCGGAGAGCTCCGGCAGCTCGCACGCCGGCGCGGCGCCCGCCGCCGAGCGCACGAGCACCAGCACGACGGCGTCGAGGAAGCCCAGCGGGGTCCTCCGCCTAGAGCTGCGGTCTGTCTGCTCGTGGCTCCATCACCAGCTCCCTTCCCTTCCCCTTCCCCTTCCCCTTCCCTTCCCTCTTCCCCCTTTGTACAAGTGCACAATGTTGCTACTACTCTCCTCTCTCCCCCTGGTGACGTTTGGAAAAGATTCGCCTCCCCTCCGCGTGCTGGTGTTTTTACACACAGGATTCCCGAAAGTTGGGTTTTGGCTTGGGTTTTTGTCCAAATGCTGCTCTCGCTGAAGCGCTGGCCTTATTTTCGGGCTACCACTCGTTTCGAATCGTGCTCCCGCTGCAGCGCTGGCCTCATTTCCGCGCTTCCGCTCGTTCCGAATCGTGCTACCGCTGCAGCGCTGGCGTCATTCTTTCCAATGCCACGCCACGGCATGGTTGTTGGTCTTTCCAAATGGGCCCCAAAATATAAAAGATGTCCCCCCGAAAAGACCATCGGAAGTGATTACACATTCGCTGTCGATTCGTTGATTTATTCTCTAGGTCGCAGAAGCCCCCCCCACTCTGGGGCGCCGCCACGCCATGCTGTGTCAGGCTACGCGTCATCCGAATCGTGCTCCCGCTGCAGCGCTGGCCTCATTTCCGCGCTTCCGCTCGTTCCGAATCGTGCTCCCGCTGCAGCGCTGGCGTCAGCATTTCCAGCGCCATGCCACGGCATGGTTTTCGGTCCTTCCAACTAGGCCCCAAAATCTAAAAAAATGGCCCCCCCGAAGCAACCATCGGAAGTGATGACACATTCGGTGTCGATTCATTGTTTGGACCGCAGAAGCCCCCCCCACTTTGGGGCGTCACCACGCCATGCTATGTCAGGATACGCGCTGATCTTCAACACCATGCTATGCAATGTAATGTTATGGTCTGTTACGACATCCGACTGCGCGAATAGAGAGGAGATCTACGCCATGGCAAGGGATGGGAGGGAGAGCTAGGACGTCATATATGACGCGAGCGCACCTAGCTTGCCCCTTCCCCTTCCCTTTCCCCCTCCTCCTCCTCTTCATCTTCCTCCTCCTCCTCCTCCTCCTCCCCCCTCCCCCTCCCCCCTCCCCCTTCCCTCCCCCCTCCCCTTCCCCTCCCCATCCCCCTCCCCTCTCCCTCCCCCTCCCCCTCCCCTCACCCTCACCCTTCACCCTCCCCCTCCCCCTCCCCCCCCCCCCTCCCACGCCCCTTCCCCCTCCCCCTCCACCATTACACAATATGAAAGCTACTCCCCTCTCTCCCCTGATGACGTCCGGAAGATATCTGGCCCCCCTCCGAGTCAGAGTGAGGGGGCCGAACGGTCATTCATTGTCCCTGGGAGCGTGGCTGAAGTGTGACTCCGTGGTGAGGATTATGTTTGTTGCGTTGTTGGTGCTGTTGCTGCTGCTGTTATTGTTGGTGGTGGTGTTGTTGTTGCTGCTGTTGTTATTGTTGTTGTTGCTGCTACTACTGCTGCTACTGTTGTTATTGCTGTTGGTGTTGTTGTTGTCGCTGTTATTGCAAGTGTTGTGGGTGTTGTTGTTGGTGGTGTTGCTGTTGTTTTTGTTGCTGCTGGTGTTGTTGGTGTTGCTGTTGCTGTTGCTGTTGCTGTTGTTGTTGTTGCTGCTGGTGTTGCTGTTGCTGGTGTTGTTGCTGTTGTTGTTGTCTTTGTTGTTGTTGTTGTTGAACTCCCACTTCTGAAGAATAATTATTGTTCATCCCCCCTGTCCGGTGCACATTGTTTTTCAATTGAAGTGCCCTTCCTGGGGCTCGCACCCTGTTTTTTATCACGGAAAGTCTTGAAGTCAAACTGTGTCGTTGGCCCCCGGTTTACAACGATAACGGCTCCCGCCTGAGACTGCCTCACAATTTAGCCAGGACCCCCGCTCCCGCCCAAGACTTCCTCGCGCTTTATTCCGGAATCGCGCTCTCGCTTAGGACTTCCTTAGAATTTATTATCCCGGCGCTGTGGAGTCGCGCTCTCGCCAGAAACTTACTTGGAATCTACTTGAGAATAGCGCCCTTGCGTTGGAATTTCCTGAAATTTACTCAAGCGCCGCGCTCCCGACACCCAGGCACCCAGGAGTCGCGCTCACGCTTGGGACTCCCTCACAGATTACATAGGAATCGGGATCTCGCTGCCCTTCGTGGCCCCGTTGCGGCCCTTCGTGGCCCCCTCGCTTTGTTTCGTGGCCCCGTTGCGGCCCTTCGTGGCCCCCTCGCTACCTTTTGTGGCCCCATTGCAACCCCTCGTGGCCTCCTCGCTGCCCTTCGTGGCCCCGTTGCAGCCCTTCGTGGCCCCCTCGCTTTGTTTCGTGGCCCCATTGCAGCCTTTCGTGGCCCCCTCGCCGCCCTTCGTGGCCCCGTCGCAGCCTTTCGTGCCCCCGTTGCAGCCCTTCGTGGCCCCCTCGCTGCCCTTAGCGGCCCCGTTGCATCCCTTCGTGGCCCCCTCGCTGCCCTTCGTGGCCCCATATATGTATGCCCTTCGTGGCCCCCGCTCGTTCGCGCCCGCTGTGGCACCATATGCATCTGTCCTACGTGGCCCAGTTGCTACCCTCAGTGGCCCCATCGTTGCCTTCTGTGACCCCGCATTATCTGCCCTTCGTGGCCCCCGCTCGTTCGCGCTCTTCGTGGCCCCATACGCATTCCGTTCGTGTCCCCGCTGTTGCCCTTCGTGGCCTACTTCGTGTCCTTGTGGCCCTGCTGTCGTTCTCTTTCGCTCTCGCTTTCGCTCGTCGTCGTCGTCGCCGCCGTCGTCGTCGACGTCGTCGTCGTCGTGGTCGGTCCCCTGTCCGTCCCTCTTGGGCTCGGGTCGACGGTCCGCGGCCGCCCCGCCGATCAGCGCTGCCGCTGGCCAGGCCGACGGTCCGCGGCCGCCCCGCCGCTTGCCGGGGCCCGGCCTGCAAGGAAGAAAGGTATACCCCCCAAAAAGGGCTCGATCGAAGACGAAGAGGGCGGGTATCGAGGGTTTGGGAAATAGGCGTTATTGGACACTCGAGCAGATAAGGCCGAACAGTCTTAAAATGATTGTTGTTGTTTTTGTTGTTGTTGTCGTTGTTGTTGTTGCTGTTGCTGTTGTTGTTGCTGTTGTTGTTGTCGTCGTCCCCCCGGCGACCCACCCTGCGACCCACACGCGACCCACCCGCGACCCACCCGCGACCCACCCCGCGACCCACCCGCGACCCACCCCGCGACGACCCACCCGCGACCCACCCGCGACCCACTTGCGACCCACCCGAGACCCGGCCCGCGGCCCACCCACGACCCACCCGCGAGACACCCGCGATCCACCCGCGACCGATCCACATTGGTTTGAAGAAAAAATCGGCGCCTGCGTCAGGCTCGTTGTATAATTTGTGGAACGTGGGCGCCTGCAGCGGGCTTCTCCAAAGTCTCGCAGACTGCCGACGTCCCCACCGCCCCCTCACTCTTATCCGCATATGCGGGGTGCTACGTACTGTTTTTTATACAAAGGATTCCCGGGAACTGGGTTTTCACTTGGTTTTTTTCCTAAATGCTGCTCCCGCTGAAGCGCTGGCCCCATTTCTGCGCCTCTGGTTGTTCCAAATCTTGCTCCCGCTGCAGCGCGGGCATTGTCGGTCCTTCCAAATAGGCCCCCAAATCTTAAATTTCAGAATTTGTTTTACAACCCCCCCCCAAAAAAAAAAAAAAAACGGAAATGATTACACATTCGGTGTCGATTCGTTGATTTTTGGAGCCGCAATAGCCCCCCCCACTTTGGGACGTCGTCGCTTTGAGGAAGTATCAAGCGGGAGCCCCGTGTCTGCTTTGAGAAGGCGATGTTGAAAGCAGGGCCAGCGGGTGCTCTCCATCAGCCCCGCCTTGTGTGGAGCTTTTCGGGGAGCCAAGGAGCTGGACATGGAGCCACGACTCCAGACAGGCCCAGACCTCTCGAAGACGATCCACCTACCCTCCAAGGAACCTGGCGCCATACCATGACATGCTGTGCGGTATTGTGTTTTGCGCCGTTGCGAGATGCCATGCTTTGCGTCGCAATGCTTTGCGATGCAAAGCTAAACTGCGCAGTGCCACGCCATGCCATGACATGCTACGCTCTGCCATGCTTTTCTACGCCATGCCATGCCGTGCTCTACCATGCATCGCGTACCCTCTCGCGATCATTGCCCTGCTCGACAACCGACTGTGCGAATAGAGAGGATATCTACGCCGCCATGTTAAGGGATGGAAGGGAGGGGTAGGACGTCAGATATAACGCGAGCGCACTTAGCTTGCCCTTCCCCCCCTCCCCCTCCTCCTCCTCCTCCTCCTCCGCCGCCGCCTCCTCCGCCTCCTCCGCCCCAGCCTCCGCCGCCTCCTCCGCCTCTGGAACGACGGGGGGGGACTCCGGTGGGCGTGGTTCCCTGAGATCTTGGCGTTGCAATTTTTCCACACCAGTCGTTTTCCTGGTTTCAGGCGCAGGGGCCATCGCAGATCGATCCGGCTCGGAGAGTGGCGCTGAAAGGCGGGGTCTGGGGCTCTGGCCGTTCTGTTTCGCGATGTTGCCATAGTGCGTAATGTCAGATCCAAGGGCTTGCAAAGGATGCGGTCTGCAACCTGCGCCCCGGGGGCAGGCGAGGACCCCGACCGAGTTGTCCCTCCACGCCTCGACGAGAGGCCATCGAGCCTTTGGCGCGACGCGGTGCCCCCGAAGCCCAAACGGCGCAGATCGCAAACCACACCCTGGCAGATCCACACCCATTGTAGTCGCACCTGCATGTCATAGCAGTGCATAGCATAGCATGGCATCGCACAGCATATCATAACACAGCACCACAAAGCATAACACCGCATAAAATCGCATAGCATAGCATCGCATAGCGTAGCATAGCAAAGACACCACGGGATAACTTGCCATAGCTAGGTGTCCTGGTTGAACGGCAGCCGAACTACCCACCACAGCACAAAACCTTCATGTAATGGGCAGCCGGTGGTGACCAGTCAGTTAAAGGGAGACTGGCTCATGGTGGGGAACATCCACCTGGAGTTGGCGATACATCGCCGATCGGTCGTCAGCGAGTCCGCACGTCCCTCGGCGGGGTGAACTGGGAGGCCCCCTCTCGGCGATCAGTGGGTGCTTGGGGGTCGATGCATCCCCCCTGCTGGGCCTATCCCCCCCGACCCATCGGTGCGATGGAGTGGCTAGAAACATGAAGTCGGAATTGATTGGGTTTCCGCCCGCCCGCTGAAGAGAAGGGGAGAAGAAAACCGCTCGACCCTTGGAAGAGGACGGCGCACCAAGCAGACTTGGACCTGGGAGTCCCAAAATACACACCTTCAACGACCGATGGGCCATGCTGCCCTGGAGCACGGCAGGTTCGTGTGGTGACGACCCTGGCGCTCGTCTCGGACGCCGCGTTGACCGCTCAACCTTGAAAGATCGATAGCCACTGGCGGCGTTCAACCTGGAACGCCCGCGGCGGGGCCGCTGCGGCGTCGGCACGAACAGAACCTACCGTACATGGAGACACACGAAGCATCAAAAAAGGGATGTCTCGAAGGTACGCGCGGAGTTTCTGCAACGGCGCGCGAGGCGCCGCCAGGGCGGCCCAAGTGCCGATCGAGAAAAGCTGCGCGGAACTCCACGAAGTCATGCTTATGCCGTTCCTGTTTCTTCCTCTCCTCCGCTCACGCTCCGGCTCCCGCTCTCGCTCCCCCTCCCCCTCCCACCCCCCCTGACCCCCATCTTTGAAGGGGCCCCATGACACACAAATAAATACACACAAATAAAAATATGCCCAATATTTTCGAATATTTTCTGGGTTTTTGTCTTCCCCCCCACTGCCCATATTTTCCCATATTCTCCTGGGAATCGAGGATTAATTGTGTCTGTGTGTTTTGTTCCCTCCTGAATCTATACTTCCTATGATTAAACACCCCCACATCCCCACCTAGCCGGCCGATAGCAAACCCGCCGTCCCAACTGTCAAAAAACAGTCCAAACTCAATGCGTTCCTTTCCTCGCCAACGTGTCGCCGAGTGGCGAATAGTAAAGCAAGAATGGTACGGAATGAACATCGCGTGGGTAACCCTTAGCGGGTGGTCGCGTCCAACCCCATCAAAACAATAAAAAAAATCCACGTTGTTTTCGTCAACATGGACTTTCTTGTCGTCGACGCTGCGAAACATGTAGCAAGAATGGGGTGCGGCGCACATCGCGCGCGGACGCCTGGCAAACGTTACGCGGGACCCCCCGTCCTACCTGCCAAAAAACACCGCAACGTCGACGTTTATCTTGCCAGCATAGATTTTCTCTTCGTCGGCGATGCGAATCGCGTAGCGGGACTGGGACGCGGCGCACATCGCCCGGGGGCGCCTGTTCGTCAACAACATGGACTTTCTTGTCGTCGACGCTGCGGCCCGTCCGGTTGAGGAGCTGGGTGGGCGGCAAGTCATAATGCCTCAAGCAACTGCGATTCAAGCAAGTGCCTCAGGAGACCCCCAAGTGGTCGAAAAAAGGCGCCCAGGAGGTCCAGGGGGGGCAACACAAATATTGATTGTCATTTGGTGTTTGAAAAATTGCGCGGTTAGCGGTAGCACCTACCTGCGTTGGCAATGTTCCAACCCGGAAGATCGATCCAAGAGGCCCTCAGGCGCATGCCAAAAAGCTCCCAGGACGCCCCGCGAAATCCCAAGAGGCATTCTCCTCTTCCCCTCTCAGTTTCTCCCTCCCTCCCTCTCCTTCCCCTCCTTCTTCTCCTCCTTCTCCTCCTCCCCCTCCTCCTCCTCCTCCTCCTCCCCCTCCTCCATGCGCGGCAGGAGCGAAACGATTGGCGGTGCAACGCACGTGGCTGGAATGAAACGCGGCGCACTTCGCGTGCTGGACATGTTGTCGCCGACAATGCAACATGAGAGGCCGGAGCGGGGCGCGGCGTACATCGCGCGCCGTTTGGTTTCTTGTCGACGTTGCTCAATGCGCGGCAGGAATAGGACGCAGCTCATGTCGCGCGCTGAACCTCTGGCCGCCCACGATATAACAGGAGCGACGTACTTGCTTCTTATGTTGTGGGAGGGCGGGTGGGAGTGGACGGAGCCCTTTGGCTCGTTCGAATTGGCTAACTTGATCACTGCTCCCTATTAATGACCACCCCCTCCCCCAGGCGACTGGTAGCCAACCCAAAACCATGCGGGCACCCCCCCACCACCCCTTGCACCAAAAACCACACAAAACACACTCTGCCTCCAAATTCGGCGCATGCGCAGCGAACCCGATGCGGCATCCCCCCACCATCCCTGTCAAAAAAACAATACAGCGTACACTTGGCGGCGGCGGCGGCGGCGGCTGCGGCGGCGGCGGCGGCGGCAGCTGCGGCGGCTGCGGCGGCGGCGGCGGCGGCGGCGGCGGCGGCGGCGGCGGCGGGGGCGGCGCGCGGCGGCGGCTGCGGCGGCGCGCGGCGGCGGCGGCAGCGGCGGCGGTGGCGGTGGCGCGCGGCGGCGGCGGCGGCGGCGATTTGGCACGGGTGGCGGCGGCGGCGGCGGCGGTGGCGGAGGCGGCGGCGGCGGCGGCGGCGGCGGCGGCGGCGGCGGCGGCGGCGGATTGGCCCCCAGTAGCTGCCCATCCAAAGACGACTGCTGAAAAGGCTGAGGCTCGGGCCAGACTCGGGTGCTACGTATGTGTTGGGAGGGCGGGTGGTAGTGGGCGAGACGGCTTGCGGGCGGGGAGGGAGTCTTGTCCCCGCCCCCCTACCTCTACCCCTACCCGTCCCCCCTTCTTGTCCCCCCCTCCCCCTCCCCCATCCCCCTCCTCCACCTCCCCCGTCCCCCTCCCCCTCCCCTCCCTGCCCCTCCCCCTCCTCCCCCTTCCCCTTCCTTGCCATCCCCCCTCCCCCCCTTCTGCCCTCCCTCCTCCCCCCCCCCTTGGCACGGCTCTGAGCCGAGACGTGGCAAGTCACTGCGATCCAAGATGCCACCCTGTAACGCCCCGGAGGATGAAGAGCTCTACTCTTGGGACGACGTCGTGATGCGTCCTGGTTGTCCTAGCGCATCCTTCGTCAGTCGCGTGTCTGGCGTCCCGCCTCCTCCCTCGTCTGCGGGTTCCGCCTCGCCCGCACCGTCCACGGCGCCCGCGCCCACGCCGCGGCGCAGGCGCCGGCGGCGGGCACGCCCGCGGCGCGCAGGAGCCACTCCTCCTGCGCGCCGCCAGGGGGGGGGGTCGAGGCGAGGGGGGGGGGGGGAGGAGAATCGAGGCCCGAAGGTCGAGGGTCGAGGGCAAGGGCGATCGGGGGTCGGGGATGGAGGACAGAGGTCGATCGAGGCTAGGGGAGCGGGGACGAGGGCCGTCGAGGATCGAGGATCCAGATCGAGGACGATCGAGGACCGAGGATCAAGGCCGAGGACGAGGATGATCGAGGACGATCGAGGATCGAGGATCGGGGTTACAGGATCGGGGGTGGGGGCTCGAGGCTCGAGGCTTGGGCGCGCAGGATCCCCGCTCCTCCTGCGGCGCCGCAGGGGTGGGTAGAGCCGAGACGGCCGACTTCACGCAAAAGAGCCGCCTGCAGGGCGCTCGAGCCTCTCATGGTCGTGTCCCAAAAACTAGTTCTCTTCTGGGTCCACTTCAGGGTATCGAGGAGAAGGGAGAAAAGAGGAGAGACGGATACTACAGCGGGTTTGGAGGTCTGCGCGGGTTTCTTGGATCGGTGATGGCGCGCAGGGGCAGCGCCGGAGGCGCCGCCAGATGGGCCCCAGCGCCGATCCGAGAAATCCGCGCGGAGCTCCTCAAGTGCATGGCTATGCCGTTTTCTTCGAGAAAAGGATACGCAGAAGGAAGTCATACATGATGGGCAAAGCTTCCACCACCACCACCACCACCAAATGTAGGACGGGGGAGAAGGGAGAATGAGGAGGTCGTCCTCCTCCTGCCTCCTCCTCATCCTCCTCCTCCTCGCCCTCCTGCTCCGCCTCCTCCTCCTCCTCCCCCTCCTCCTCCTCCT